ACGATTTGTTTACTCGAAAGCTGGCTCCTGGCTTCGTGTTTTCCTCGCTGCGCTCATTCACCAGAGCAGTCAGGGAGCTTGACAGTGTGTTCGCAACAACCAGGTTACTCTCTGCAGGACGCAGAAGCACGTTCAGACATTTCCAGTGCCTGGAATTGATGTCGAATAATATTGTTGCTTCCACGCCATGGATTTCTTTGGGTTTTGTTTTGGTTTTGTTTGTTGTTTTGTGGTTGGTTTGTTTGGTTGTTGTTTTTTTTTTTTTTCATGGATGTATGTTACTGAGAATCCCTGGACCACCTTCCAGACAGGTCAGGTGTGTGCCCCATCCCTCCCAGGGGATGATCCTGCTGGGAACACGTGTGGTTGCCCAATCTCCTCGGCCTTGGCTGGCTCTCGCCAAAACGGGGCCATTTAATCGCTCCCATCTGGTGGTTTGTATCTGCTGGAGGCTGGATGCGTGTCCTGGCAGAAGGGATGCTGCTGGGGAGAGCAGAAAAGGTGGAGAGAGGCTTGAGGCATCTGTCTTTGTATTTATTCAGTTGTTGGAGAGGAACGTCTCCAGTAGCAGCATCCTTCCACCTGCACGTGGGAATTTCCTTGGAGAATTATTTGTGCAGCTGCACACGTGACCGGGGCAGCAGGTCCTGTCCCTTAGGTGCAACACCTCCGCTGACCACAACTTGTCCTCTCGCGTTCCAGCTCTCACTGCTCTTTGCATAAATAGCTGCGTGTTGCAGATGTGTTGCAGATGTGATGCCCGGCTGTGCCTGGAGTCCTCTCCTCATCCCCCCCTTCACGTGGGCTCTCAGCCCTGGTTGGTCCCCGCTACCGTGTGGGGAGATATGCAACCGCATCATGGCAATGGGTTCTCTGGGTCCCTGCCAAGGGTTGGTCCAATTTCTCTCCCGCTTGTGCTGGTTCCGTTTGACTTGGTTCCTAATGACGACCGGTTATCCTGCCGTGACCTTCCCTTGTACCGAAATCAGCCGGGGATCTGCTCTGGGTCAGGGAAATCTGTGTAATTTCCTCCTCTTTGGTTCTTGAGTAGGAGAGACCTTCTGTAAAAAGACGGCGGTAAATGTATTTACTCTTAATCTCGGCCACTGGAGACTTGTGTGTACTCAAGGATTTCCTGGGAAACCCTGTAAATCCCCTACGGCTCAGGCAGCACTTCCCTGATCCCCCTCGAAACGCTAATAAGGGATCAGGGAGCGTGTGGGGGAAGCTGCTGGGTGGGGAAGGGTGGCCTGGCCGGTCCCCGGGGCTGGTGGTGGGTGCTCCTTCCTCAGCGGGGGTCCTCACCCAGGGACGGGTGCCGGAGGTGCTGGCGTCAATGCCGGATTGATGCTGCTATGGTTTCTGTGAAGTTTTCCGTGCATGATTGGTTTGAGGGTAGAGTTGAGTAAAGGTTTTCACCACGCTTGTAGCTCTTTGTAGGAAACATGAGGATTTGGAAAGATTACGGGTTTGTGTTTCCGGGGAAGGTGGTGACAAGAAGGTTTTATGAAATACATATATTAAAATGATTTCTTGGAGCTTCCTCCTGGCTTGTTGCAAAGCAAATGCGGATTCCTGCCATCATGAGAGTGGAGCTTGAGCTGCTTAGAGGGTCTGAGGCGATAACGCTTCTCATCACTTGAGTCTGATGATGGCCAAGAGGTTCACTGAGATGGACTCTGATATCGAAGTTGCTCGTGAGCTCTCGCCACTCACGGCAATGCTTTGATGACTTATGGTGCTTAGAAGTGCTGCTTCTCAGAACACAGAGGCTTTGCTCCTAGGGACGGTGTTCCCCTTCTGGGGCCAGTCCGACCTCCTGGGGCCGTGTACCCGTCTCTCCTGGGCTCTGCCCTCGCTGCTGTTCCAGCCGTTCCCAGGGGAAGGCTTCCGTCCCGCTCACCGAGCAGCAAAATAACTGAATTCAACCAGCTTAAAAAAATTCATTGTCCTTTCTTCCCTTTCTCCCCCAGCCGTAACACAAATACCTTTCTCCTTTTCAAGTGCTTCTAATTGCTCCAGCGAAGGGAGGGCTTTGAGGGGCTGAAGATGCAGGGGACCATCCCTCCGCCTGGGAGGATTCAGGGGACCATCGCTCCGGCCGCGGCACCGTCCAGAGCCCCCGGAGGTTTGGGTCACCCTGGCAAAACCATCAGAAAGTCACTTTGCTGGTTTTTATCCCCTACTATCCTGCACTGATTTATAACAGCGCTCATAAAGCCCAAGTCTGGGGCATTTAACCAGGAAAACACCCTTTCAGCTATTCGATCGTGTCAGAAATGTTGTGTACGTCGATCACTGCTGCTCATCTGGGGCAAAGCTGCCAGGTAAAGGCAGGGAAGAAAATGCATTAGTGGATGGCAGGAGGCAGTTAAGGGTCCAGGGCTGATGTGGCAGCTCAGATCTGAGCCAGATTGTTGCTGCTGGGCAGAATTATCCAAATTTAGGCTCTCTGAGCGAGCCGAAGTGATGCCGTTGGCAGCTGAAGGAGGAGGTGGGCACAGCCGCACTGTCCCAGCTCTTCCATCCATCCCTGCCCTGACAGCCCTGAAATTGGCCCTAATAGAGGTTAAAATCACACCGGCAGGTATCAATCACCGAAGGGGAAAATGAACCCTGCGCCATATGGGTGGGGAATTTGTGTAACGTGCCCTAATTAGAAAGAGGCTCATGAGTTAGAAATCAGTCTTGCGTTAAGCGCTCATCACAGACCGGCTAACGGGGATGTGATCCCGCGCCTGTCACACGCCAGGGAATTAATGAGGGTTTGTAAGAGACTGCGTGGAAGGGCAGAGGGGAATGTCGGCCAATGGCCCCATTCCCCGCCAGTGATGGAGCTGAAGGTGTCCATTTGTTCACATATTGAAGGCAGTGAAAGCAGGCACTTTTTTTTTTTTTTTTTTCCTTTACCTCGATAACTTAAATGACCCATATAACAAAGTCCCCGGTGTTCTTAGGCCAGCCCAGTTCTCATCTTCTAGATGGGCCGTGTCTGAGGGTTTTCCTTTACCTCGATAACTGAAATGACCCATATAACAAAGTCCCCGGTGTTCTTAGGCCAGCCCAGTTCTCATCTTCTAGATGGGCCGTGTCTGAGGGATGACTTGGAGCTGCTGTAGCAATTTGAGCGAGAAGCGGCTTTTCACTCATAACGCCCGTGAAGGGTATTTTAAAAATTGATAAAGTGGGCTCGGGGAGGGTTGTGTTTGCCCGTGTTTCTCAGTGCCTCGTGCGATGGTTTTCTGCGTCTCCATCCCCTCCTGATGGAATCCGGGCGGGCAGCGCCGCTCTGCCCGTGCATCCCGTGCTGCTCCCGGCCGGCGTTCGCCGGTGCCACCACCACCGTGCCCCACAGCGCTCTGGCAATTAGCAGCTGCGTCTCCCTGGGAGCCAATTAATTCGAATAAACCTTCCCGGCAGCGATGGTACAGGGCTGAGTCCCCGGGCCTGATCCTGCTGCCTGGAGCGCTCCTCCCTCAGCTGCGGATGGTAAAGATGCAGCGTGTTATCCTCGCCGGGTTTCTTTGTTCACGTTAAATGGAGCCAGGAGCTCGATATGTTAAAAGGTCAGTGCTGGAAGGGCTATGAAATATTTAGTGGCTGTGTTGTGCTGACCTAGTTAGTTTGCACGCTCCAAAGCGTGCCACCAGCTCCGGGCTGCGGCAGGGAGCCGGCGCAGGAGAAGGAAGGGCGGTGGGGTGGTCGGGTGCGGAGACAAGGAGCCGGGGGGGGTTCCTGCAGCCCATCTACGACGGGAACCTTCGCAAGAGGCTGTGCTGGGTGCTGCGTGCCACCTTCTGCTGCAGAGCTCTGCCAGTCCTCTCTGCTGGGATGTCCAGGCTGCACCGTCCCTTCAAGTCTTGCAAGGATTTCCATCCATGTGGAAGGGTCCCATCAAGTGGTGTAACAGTTAGCTCATTAGTGTCGTTAAGCAAGACTGTTATCATAGAATGGTTTGGGTTGGAAGGGGCCTTGAAATCACCTTATTCCCCCCCCTGCCCTGGGCAGGGCCACCTCCCCCCAGCCCAGGTTGCTCCAAGCCCCGTCCAACCTGGCCTTGAACACCTCCAGGGATGGGGCAGCCACAGCTTCTCGGGGCAACCTGCCCCAGGGGCTCACCGCCCGCACAGGGAGACAGTTCTTCCTCACATCTCATCTCCATCTGCCCTCTGCCCGTCTGAAGCCATTCCCCCTCGTCCCATCACTCCATGCCCTTGGAAAAAGTCCCTCCCCAGCTCTCCTGGAGCCCCTTTAGGCACTGGAAGGGGCTCTGAGGTCTCCCCTTTTTGGCCTTCTCTTCTCCAGGCTGAACCCCCCCAACTCTCCCAGCCTGTCCTCCCAGCAGAAGGGCTCCAGCCCTCCCAGCATCTCCGTGCCCTCCTCTGGCCCCGCTCCACCAGGTCCATGTCTCTCCTATGTTGGCGGCTCCAGAGCTGGAGGCAGCACTGCAGGGGAGGTCTCACCTCACAGAATCCCCTCCCTCGCCCTGCTGGCCACATTGATGGTCCCAAAGTCTCTGGGGATTTGTCCTGCGGAGTACACATGCGTACCTTGCTCAACATCACTTCTAAAGTTTGGGAGGAAAGTACCAGATGCTTCAGGCTGACCCAATGGTTGATCTGCCTCGAGGTCTGGGGAACGATTTGGAGCCTCTGGAGTCCCTTCCAGCCCTCGTGCCCGTGGTTTTGGATGGTCATGCAAAGATTTCCTGCTGCCCTGGGGCCGGGCGGGTGCTCGTGTGGAGCAGCCCACTGGGGTTGTGTTTGCAGAAATCCCTTCTCGTACAGGGATCAGCTGCAGCCTCCCCTGGGAATATTGACAGGGTAAAAATCAATCCCTGACTTGGCCGAGTGTGTCCTCCAGCCGAAAACCATATCCCAGTGCGAGCTACGAAGCTCACTCCCCTAACAGGCCTCCCACCTTAAAAAGACCAATTTTATCACTAAATTTTTTTCTCTCTCTCTTTTTTTTTTTTTTTTTTAATTTATTTTAAACCACAGACGGGCCGGATCGAACCAAACTACCCCAAAGTTTGTGGTCACCAGGGCAACGTGCTGGACATCAAGTGGAATCCCTTCATTGAGAACATCATCGCATCATGCTCCGAAGACACCTCGGTGAGCTGGGATGCTTTGGGCTGGCGCCTCCAAGAGTCGTGCAGCTCCGAGCACCCTTTTGCCTTTAATTTATACACCCGGAGGTGCGGGAAAAGCTGCGAGTGGGTGATGGCTCAGCAGTCTCCGGAACGGAGAGGAGGGTAAGAGATTGACGCAGAGCAATAGGTAAATTGTGTCGATCCCCGGCTCCTGTGTCATGGGCGCAGGGGCTGTGGCTGGTGCTCAGCTCCTCTGCTGTCCCCGGTGTCCCTTATCATCACAGCGCTGCTCTTTCTGCGTCCCCCGCTGCAGATAAGCCGTACAGCTGTGCACAACAAGGTCTTTTTTTTCTTATTTTTTTTTTTTTTTATCCCCTCAAGCCCAACAGCAATGCTATTATTAATCCTCCTTGCTCCCAGGGGCTGCGGCCGTTCTCGTGGCCTGATCCATCAAGCGATGTGAGCAGAAGGCGGTTTTGCAGGCTGGGGGATAACGAACCAGGTCATCTTTACGTGGCCGTTACTTGCTTCCTCCTCCTTTTTATTTTCTGGACACAAACAAGTCCATCCCAAAGGCTGTATCATAAAGGAAAAAAAGCCTTTGTTCCAGGGAGAGGGTCAGAAACCATCACCCATTCTGCACAGCGCGGTTTGGGGTGATCTGGTTGTTAACCAGTTGCAAATCTGCCTCACCTCATCCTTAGAATTTCACCCTGTTATCACCCACTGTCTCATCCTCGCCTTCAGTTCAGTATATCGGCGGTTTTTATTAGCTGAAAGCTCGTCAAGGAAGATGTTGAGTGGGGGAAAAAAAATTCAGATTGTGGCCATGAATCATGGTGAGCTGTCGCCCACTTTAAATTATAACCTTTTACATACAGTCAGTGGGGAATAGGGGGGGCTGGGAGGGAGGATACCGAGAAGACTTCGTCAGCCATCGTTAAACCTAGGAAATTAAGTTAATTGCCCCTGAGGCTGCGGAGGGGGACTTCCCCCTGATGGGGATGAGTTGGAGGGGAGCGGTCCCGCAGCCGGGTGGGCTCGTGGCTCCCGGTGCCACCCCGCAGTCGGGGACAGGTCCTGTACCTTGGGGCTCTCTCTGCTCGCTCCCAGGAGGTTTAACGAGCTTCAGGCCAACAGTCTTTATCAAAAAGAGGATGCTCTGGTCTTTGCAGAGCACGAGCTGCAGAAAACAGAGTATTCACATGATATTTGTCACCCGGGGGCACCGTCTGCCCCAGGCTGGGGACACCACGGCGGGGGGACATGGAGGACCTGCCACATGCACCGCTAGCCTGTGGGGAGCGCAGGGATGCTCTTTGCTCCATCGCGCCCTATGCGGAGGGGACATGTGCAGCCTTGTCCCTGGAGCATCGCTACGGGTTAATCCTCTCCAAAGGAGGGGGTGAGGATTTTACAGCTCGGCAGCACCGGACATTAACATCCGCGGTCAGACACTGCCTCGCTGGGGAGGGATCGCTCTCACAGCCCACCCAGGTTATTGCTCTGCTTGAAACCCCTCCTGTAATTACTCCCTCACTGTCAAACCTGTCTCCGTCCGTACCTGTCTGTCCCCGCTCGGATAAAGCCGTCTGTCCTGATGCTGTCCCGTGGGGTGCCGGGGCCGTTAATTCATTATTTGTCCTCGCGGGACAATTAGCAGCAGGGCTGATCCTGGAGTTGCTGGTCGCTGCCACGGTGCCGCTGAAATGCTGTGAAGGCTTTTTGGGAAGGAGCTTTTAAAGGGCAAGAAAAAACAAGTGGGAAGGTTAAAAGGCGAATTACCCAATGTCCGGAGGTGTTTCGGGCTCCGCGTTTTCCCCGTGTCGGGGCTGTCCGGGCGCTCGGGTGCAGTGAGCTGATGTGGCCCGCAGAGCCAGGTCGGGGGATGTTGCAGCACGATGTCTTGTTTGCAGGACACATCTCTTTGTGGAAAGGTGCGTTTCAGGGAGAATTTTGTCAAGCAGATTTCTTAGGATGGGTTGGGGGAGGACGCCTCTGGCTTCGCAGGCTGTGCCTACCCCGGCTGGTGTCACGGGAGGTGGGTGGTGAGAGGAGCTGCTCTGGCTGTTCCTCTGTTGTTTGGGTTTTTTTCCAATGATAATTTTCCAAAAGCATCATTTCCATCCCAGGATGGGATGAGGTTGTGAAACCCAATGCTTGAATTTTGGATTAGCTCCGGCTGTGCCCGTACTGGCAACAGAACGGCATTAGCGCCGCAACCAGTTCCGACACGTCTATTTTCAGGTCATAGTGACTGTGGTGATGGGGAAACCTGCCTAAAATAGCTCAGCCCTGGCACTCACCCTCTTTTTTTTTTTTTTTTGTTGTTGTTGTAAGACATGAGGAATGATGCAACTCCGTTAGGAGCGGACCGCAGAGGTGATGCCGCGCTGCGGAGCCCCAGCGATGCTGAGACCCCGTGGTGCGGGACGCCTTTAACAACCGTCCCTTTGGGCTCCTTTTACAGCAAAAGGCGAGCGGTGCCTCCGGGCTGAGCAGCCCCTGGCACTGCGGGGGACTACGGCGTCTCGGGGCAGCGCATGAAGGGTCTCCCTGTGTGCCCTCCCCGGGTCTGGCGGCGCGTGTCCCGCGCGGTGCGCAGGCAGGCAGGCATCCCCGCGGCGGTGCGTGCGGATGGCCGGGGCGAAGCGCAGCGCGGAGGTTTGGTAACAGCCGTTTCGTAACCCCGCCGCTTTCATAACCGGTTCCTTTGACAGCCGGCGAGCGGGGTTGCGTCGCTCGTTCCTCGTGTTCTGCCTCGTTTGAAAACCGCTGATGCTCTCGGAATCGTCCCTCCGAGCCAAAGCGGCCTCTTAACCGTGTCTCCCGCGTAACTCCTTTCCTCTGCACGCCACCCAACCCCAAGAGCGGTGTCCTCCATCTCTAAACGTGCAGGTTCGGGCAGAAAACTCACCGCTCCGCTCGTACATCCTTATGCAGATTTTTCACTGCAATACGGCAAATGAATTTTTGCCCCCCACCAGAGTGTAGCTCAGCCCGCGGCTGGATGGGGCGATCCTTGTGGGCGCTGGTGGAGAGGGAGGAGCGACCGAAGGGGCAGCAGGACTGGTCCTCCCCAGGCGGCGGTCTCCCACATATGCCCTACGTTTTGGAAAAGCTTTATTTCAACTCGGCGATGCTCACTGCCCCGACCACCGCCTCTGCCCGTAGGCAAGCTCGACTTTTGAGATGCTGGTGGAGGAGGCGAAAGGGAACCTGCACGGGTTGTGTGCTGCGTTCGATACGGTTTGGCTTTTTAAATGAGTGTCGTGATGTGTCTGCAACTGATGTTAGAGCTGGGATGAGATGAAGGCTCTGGGAAGGACAAGTGCGCTGGCCAAGGCATCCTGCCATGGGGAGGAGGTGGGAGTGAAAACCTCAGTTGTTTGAGCTCTCACCTGCACCATGGGGACGCTGCTGGGTTTGGGGTGGCCCCGGGAAGCCACAGGACCGGCAGGACCCCGCGTCTCGTTGCTCGGAGGGGTCCAGGGCACTCGGGCACGGAGCAGAATGAGGGAGGTTAGATAAATGCTACACGTCCCTTCGGCTCCGTACCAGTGACCTGCCGTGGAGATGAAAGCATCTGTAACCACTCCTTGATAGCGTTATCTGGAGCTGTTTAATTGAAGAGGAGATGCTATAGAAGCCTTATTCTGTCCCAGTGCATCGCCTCCTTTTGGTCAGCAAACACCTTCTGTGCAGGGGCTTTTCTGGCTTGTTTCTAACCCAGGTAGCACCTCTGCTGGGAGAGTTGGGGGGGTTCAGCCTGGAGAAGAGAAGGCGAAAAAGGGGAGAGCTCAGAGCCCCTTCCAGTGCCTAAAGGGGCTCCAGGAGAGCTGGGGAGGGACTTTTTCCAAGGGCATGGAGTGATGGGACGAGGGGGAATGGCTTCAGACGGGCAGAGGGCAGATTGAGATGAGATGTGAGGAAGAACTGTCTCCCTGTGCGGGCGGTGAGCCCCTGGGGCAGGTTGCCCCGAGAAGCTGTGGCTGCCCCATCCCTGGAGGTGTTCAAGGCCAGGTTGGACGGGGCTTGGAGCAACCTGGGCTGGGGGGAGGTGGCCCTGCCCAGGGCAGGGGGTGGCACTGGGTGATCTTCAAGGTCCCTTCCAACCCAAACCCTTCTATGGTTCTCCTTGCTGGGTGGGCAGCAGCTCCCATCAAGGCTGATGTTGGGGGGTCTCCCCTGGCCCCGTTCCCTGGGAGCGCTGCATCGACTTTATCGGTTCCTTCTCCTCAGCACCCACAGCCCAGGGCTGAAACCGCTGCCTTTTTTTTTGGGCTACCCTTTCCCGGGGTGCTCGCTGGTCTGATGGGACAGACTCTGCCCTTGCCGGGGACCAGATCCACCCCAGGGTATCCATTAGGGTGCAGGATGAGGCCACTGCATCGGGACTGGGATTCAGCAGCTCAGAGCCCACCCCCGGGCGAGTGTCGGGGTCCTCCGGGGGCTCCCGCCCCCCCCTGACGCCTGTTCCGTCCCGCAGGTGCGGATTTGGGAGATCCCCGAGGGCGGCCTGAAGAGGAACATGACGGAGGCCGTCCTGGAGCTGTACGGGCACAGCCGCCGCGTCGGTCTCGTCGAGTGGCACCCTACCACCACCAACATCCTCTTCAGTGCCGGCTACGACTATAAGGTGGGCGCTGCCCGGCCCCGCTCCTGGCGCTCGGCCGCTGCCCTTGCAGTGGTTTTCCCTGCTCTCGACACGGGTGGGAGTCACCTGCGTGCAGCCAGGCCACTAACCGGGAATAAAATGACCCACCGTGTCCGCGGCAGACAGTACCTTCCCTCCTCTTGGGGTTCTTGCACCCGGCCGTAAGGATGATTTTAATCATGCACAAGCTGCAGGGCAGCCCTGGGAGGAGGGAAGGGGGCTCTGTAGGTGATGAGGGGGCGATTCCAGCCAAAACAGGAGATATTGAGAGGCCCAAAGCAGATGTGGAGGTTGCAGGAGGGGTTGCGGGGGGGCGTTCTCCAAGAGTGGAGATGCCAGGGCAGCCTCCCCCCTTCTTCCTGCAGGTACTCATCTGGAACCTGGACATCGGGGAGCCGGTGAAGATGATCGACTGCCACACGGACGTCATCCTCTGCATGTCCTTCAACACCGACGGCAGTCTCCTGGCCACCCCCTGCAAGGACAAGAAGCTGCGGGTGGTGGAGCCGCGCTCCGGCAGGGTCCTGCAGGTGCGGTGCCGGTGCCGGAGGGGGCTGCGTGCAGCGTAGGGTGGGTGGGGAGGGGATAGAAATAAGATCTTGGGGAGGAATCTTGCTGAAAACACGTAAAAACATTTGCAAAGTCAAGATGCCACTCGTGATGTGATGTTTTGCGGGTGTCGAGGTTTGCAGGTGGGGGTGGACTGGCTGTTCTAATTAGGTGGAGATGATGGGGAGGGCTTGGCCACATCCCAGGCGCCAGAGTTGGAGGCTTTTATTCTTTTATTAATTAAGGACTTGTGGAAAATTAGGGGTTTGTGTGTGCAGAAGGTTCCAGAAAGAGTTTGGAGGAAGATGGTGGTTTCTTAATAAAGGTGGTATCTAATTTTTGGGGAGACAGGCGTTTTCATTGTGCACGGGGGATGGGGGCTGAATCACGGGACCTCCGCGCTGTCTGCCCCACTGCCGGCACGGAGCTGGCCAAGAACCACCGCGTCAACCGGGTGGTCTTCCTGGGCAGCACGAAGCGGCTGCTGACCACGGGGGTGTCGCGCTGGAACACGCGGCAGATCGCCCTCTGGGACCAGGTGGGTGCCGAGACCCCCGCTCCATCCCCACCGGGACCCCCCGCTGCGTCCCCACTGGGATGCAGGAGCATTGGGACATCTTGCTTAATAAAGTCCTTTTTGCCATCGCGCAGGAAGACCTGTCCATGCCCCTGATAGAGGAGGAGATCGACGGGCTCTCGGGTCTTCTCTTCCCTTTCTACGACGCCGACACTCACATGCTGTACTTGGCCGGCAAGGTACGGGGTTGCGCTTCGCGTGCCGCGGCTGCGGGGGCTGCAGCATCTCCCGGGGATGCGAAGGGGCCTCTCTCCAGCAAACGGGGTGGGGGAGAAGAACCGGGGCTGTGCTGAGCCTCGAGCGAAGCGTTACGCAGCTCTTTGGCCAAAAAACCAACTAGTTCGGAGAGGCGCCCGCCGCTGTTGCAGGAGCGGGCAGCATCCCGCGGGGTGATGCACGACGCTGCAGTGACCACAGCCTGTGTGTCCCCCGCGGCGTTTCCCGAGGACGGGGTGCTGGGGGGCGTTATCATGGTCTTTATTCAACCTCATGTTTGCCGAAGCGCTAAACCATCCCTCTTCCCTGCGCTCGCTCCAGGGCGACGGCAACATTCGGTACTACGAGATTGGCTCGGAAAAGCCCTACTTGAGTTATCTCATGGAGTTTCGCTCCCCGGCCCCGCAAAAAGGACTGGGTAAGGAGGGGCTGCGCTGCTGACCCTTCGGTCCCAACGTGCGAAGGGCAGATGATGGAAAGGGCTTAATTAAACGCCGCAGGCAAATGGGTTTGGCACGGGTTTGGCACGGGTTTCGGAGCTTTAGTGCCGGCGCTGGAGCATCAGCGCAGCGCTGCAGCGCTTGCAGGGCAATGTTGCACATGGCTGTGCTGTCTGTCCTGCGGTGATTTAGCCGGGATGGGGCCGGATCCCGGCCGGGCGCATCCCCAGTGCCACCCTTCCTGCTGTCACACGTACCGGAGCTTTACCAAGGGACACCAGTCAGTGATTCGTGTGATTTGTCCTGAATCAAAGCTGCTCATCGCTTTCCCCACGTCCCTGCAAACGCCCCCGGTGTGGCCCAGGTCCCCAGGGTGACAGCAGGGATTAACCCAGTAAAAACCTGGGTGTGCTGATGGGGACTGAGGACCTTTTGGGATCCTGCGTTCCGGATAGGCGGATGGGTCCCAGCTGGCAGTGCGGGGTTCGCAGCACGCGGGGGTCACTCTCTGCCCCTCCTCCCTCCACAGGGGTGATGCCGAAGCACGGGCTGGACGTGTCGGCCTGCGAGGTCTTTCGTTTCTACAAGCTCATCACCCTCAAGGGGCTGATCGAACCCATCTCCATGATCGTGCCGAGGAGGGTGAGTCCCTCGCTGCACCCCGGGGCGCCGGGATGGGTGAGCAGCGTCCGGGGGTGTCCGACGTGGGTCCAGTGCGATGGAGATGCCCCAACTTGCACCGTTTTGCTGCCCAGTCCGACCGCTGGGTCTCTTTGCACCGGTCTCCCAGTCGTTACACTTCCCAGGCGTGGGATTCCCGGGGAGGGGAGGGGTTTACCCCAGGTTTGATGGGAGAGGTTTTAGGAACCGCATCTCTGCATCGCCCTGATGCGATTGTTCGGTGAGACATCAGCTCGGGCAGCGAGGGGCTCATCTCACCTGAGGTTTGGGGGCTGTTTCTGTAAAAATGTATCTTGGAGATGGAGCGGGGTTCGGCGTTTGCCTTCCCGGCGCCGTCTGTAGCTGGAAGCAAACCTGTCCGGGGCTGCGCGGAGGAGCCGGTCCCGGGGTTCCACTGCAGCTCCGCGGCCGCTCGTCCTCCTCCGGCCCCTCGGCTCCGCCACCGCCGTCCGGTTGGCGTTCCCCAGGTCCCCGCCACGTGCCCCGAGCAGGCAGTGCCGGCGTTTCTCATCTAGCTTAACGATGCCCGCACCAGCGGGTTGCTGCCCTGGGTGCCTGCAGTGCCGCATGCCAAAGGGGTGAGCGCACCCGTTCACAGCACGTCGCAACGCGTAGTGAAAAGTCGTGAGCGGATTCACGGAGGCGGTCGCTTTTCTTTCCCCGTGTTTTTCAGTCGGAAACGTACCAGGAGGACATTTACCCCATGACTCCGGGTACGGAGCCAGCCCTCACGCCGGATGAATGGCTGAGCGGGGTGAACAGAGGTAAAGGCGCCGGTGCCGTGTTGGGCGGGCGGCACGGAGACCCCAAAAAACGGCTGGGCAGCGGGACAGGGCCACAAAACCCCCCTGACCCCCTCCCGTGCTCTGCCCCGCTCAGATCCCATCCTGATGTCGCTGAAGGAGGGCTACAAGAAGACATCCAAAATTGTCTTTAAGGCACCAGTGAGGGAGAAGAAGAGCGTTGTCGTTAACGGCATAGACCTGCTGGAGAATGTGCCGCCCCGGACGGAGAATGAGGTAGGGCAGCGTGGCACGGGGACAGGAGGGGATGGTCGCTGGCTGGGGGGGACATTTTCTGGGTGCAGCACGGAAAGCCACCACTCTGCAGGTCTCTGTCCCCACGCTGAAGCGCCTGGGCAGCGCGTTTCCCTGGCACTCCGAGCATCCCGCTCCGCGTTAACCACAGAGCACCCCAAAGCAGCGGCGCTGAGCTCCTGAATAGTTATTATTATTATTTATTATTATTAAAATTAAAAATCCTTCTCCGGGAACAATGTATGGAAGCGCTGGGGAAACATCAGCGCTGGGTCCCGGAAGGAATTCGCTTTGCTGGAGCTGAGTTTGCAGATCGCTGGCGTAGGGCATCCCCGCGCTGGCGGGCGGAACGGGAGATGCGAGCGAGCGAGCGGCGCGGCAGATGAAGTCGTGTCGCAAAAGCAGCCGAGTTATGAAAACGGCGCCGGGGGGGTTGGCAGGAGGGGCGAGCGGCTGGGGGGGCCACCTCCCTCCTTCCCTTCCAGCTCCTGCGGATGTTCTTCCGACAGCAGGACGAGATCCGGCGGCTGAAAGACGAGCTCTCGCAGAAAGACATACGGATCCGACAGCTACAGCTGGAGTTAAAAAACTTACGGAACAGCCCGAAGAATAATTAACTTCCAGGGACGTTTTATAAATAAACTTTCTTTGTTTATACTCGCTCTTTAATTTTATTGTATCCACTTACACAGAATATGAGCCAGAAGTCAAGTGACCTGCCAAGAGCCCACTCGCTAACTGGAAATACGTCCTCCTAGTCTTGTCTAGCACTAAAACCGCGATAACCGAAAGCTGCTGCATGAGGGGCGGCTGGGGCGGCCCCCCGCCCCCGCC